CATTTTATAGGCAGGTAAAGCATTATCAGTGCTTGGTTCAAGCTCCTTAATGAAAAGCTTTTCACTTCCAATAAAAAGTGGCTTTAAATTAGGCAATGACTCATCTTCCATCACATTTTTGTACCAATTATCTTTCAATTCTTTTCTGGACTCTGTGGTACTCGCAAACTAAAACATCCAATCACAAAGAAGAAAAGAAAGGGTTAGAGAATTGCATAATATTTGCATAATTAAACTGGACAAATATGATAATTTCACATACATAAAAAAAATTTAGATGAGGAAATTGGGAAAGGTTGGTTACCATGACCAAGAGAAGCGAGAAGATCATGAGAGTGATGCACAGAGGGAGCTTCATATCGAACGAAAATAAAGTGAGTTTTTTTTCCTGTTTGGGTGATGAATTTGATAGGAACATATTCTTAATCCAATTTATCAAGGCATATATATAGGGTTACGCTGCTAGTGTGATAGTAGTAATTTAGTAGTGAAGCTGAAGCATGCATGAATATTGGATAACCTTGAACAGAGTAATGGAGGTATGTGTAAAGACAAACATTGGAATCCATTGAAGATAAACATGGTCTGTTTGCAAAAAAACAAATTATAATTGGAAAGAATCTTAAAGTGAAATTTAAATTATAACAAACACCACATAAATTGAAGAGAGTAATCAATATGTACACTTGTGCAGACATTGGAATCCATGTGTCGAGCGACGTGCCAAGTATTGATGGTGTGGCATATGTATACTGTGACGTATCCATGTGGCAACCGGCTACCACCTCGATCCGGTCGTCGGCCGGTGGGTTTTGTCACTTCAAATTTCTGAAAATAAAACAAAATTAATATTGCCCCATTTGTGGTACTGAGGTTGTGGCTGGTGCATGTATATTGTGCTTCGACCTCGTCGCCGATTAACTACTGGGTGGATAAATATGTAGATGCAGGATTAAGTTTTGTCTTGGCATGCCTTTTTTTGTTTTAAATTTTATTTTATAAACATTATCACTTCCAATCAGCTTAGTTTGTTCTTTTTTATAATTAATGGAATTACAACGAAGAAGAATGGAGAAGAAAAATACAGGTGGGTGGGGTGCTGCAAAGTAAGGAATGAAAACATCTAGATAAGAAAAACAAAACATACTCACAAGAGAAGAGAATGAGTGGAGAGAAAAAATCCATTAGATAAAGATAAAAAAATAATTTCTATATTTTTTTTAAAAGCAGCAGGGCGTGGTTTTCAATGCTGCTGCATGCATGGCAGAGTGTATAATGCAGTCTTTTTTT